CACATTTTGAATAAAATGAAAAAAAGATGCTGTAATCAAGCAATAATTTAAAGCTCTATTACAGCAAACAATCAAAAAAAAAAAAAAGGAAAAAATTGAACGTATTTTCGAAGATGCAATTAATTCTTAATTAATTTCATTGCTTTCTTATCAGTTATATCAGTGCTCAGATATTATATATAATTCCATCTTCTAGCAATTTTCAAGTATTTTCGAATATTCCTGTAATTTTCCCATGAACTGTAAATGCTAACTTTAAAAAAAAAATGAAAAATTGTTGAAAAACTTAAGCAAATTATTTTCAATTAATTCATTATTTCAATTACTTCATTAATTTGTCTTAAATACATATTAAAAACCAAATGAACATTTTATCATTAATCTTATCATTCTAAACATATTTCTCGAAGGCTCATATTTACATTTAACTAATGTTCCATAGTTATTACAGCCAGTTTCCAATAGCAAAAAAGAGAACAAAAAAAAAAAAGAAAAAAAGAAAAAAGAAACGTCGAAGACTTTATTGTTATTTTCATCAAAGTATATTTTAAGGAATGATAATAAGTTAGTTATCAGTTTGGTTGGTCCATTTACATTGTTGTAAAACATTAGAACAAGCATTCATTAAAATTACTAATGGACTGATTAACTTACTTTAAAATAAAACAATAAGTGAGATATTTTAAATTAAAAAAAAAAGAAAATTAAATCGAGATATTTGAATAAATTAAAATAAATCGAATAAAAATAGAATGAAAAATTATTCCTTCTCAAATAAGCAATAATTCTATTAAATAATTATTAAAAAAAAAATTAAGAACATCATTTTTTTTCAGTAATTAATTAACTAATATATTAAATATTATATTTTAACATACATTTTTTTGAAATCATTAAACATTTTCCTCTGTACTTGCAAGAGGAAAAAAAAAAAAGGAAAGAGAAGGGAGAGCAAAGATCAGTTAGCAAAAATGATGATGTACTGATAAGAATGTTGTAAACCAGTTTATTATATTTTCATTCTATAACAATCAATGCCAAATGTTACTCTGTCGATTAATTAATTCTACTGGAATTAAACTTTTCTAAGTTTCCATAGATTTTAACTAATTAATTAACTTCAACGTTGACAAGCTTTTGGTAGGTTTATTATGTTGCATTATTATAATTGAATGATACTTCTTCGATTAATTAATTCAATCGAAATTGAACCTTTCTAAGTTTCCATAGGTTTTATTTAATTAATTAGTTTTATGGTTGACAAGCTTTGATAGGTTTATTATGTTGCATTTATCATAATCGTTTGATTCTACCTAATTGCAATCCCTAAACATGAATTTTACTTCTTCAACTAAATTTTATTTTATTAATTAGCTTATAATATTGTATGATCAATCACAAAAAAGGTTTAAGAAGTTATACTATTTCGATTAAATCATTTACCTTATGGTAATGATTTTGCATAAAAATGTAATGTTTTGTCGAAAAAAAAAATAATAGGTTTATTGTGCAAAGGTACTAAAAAATATCATCTAAAAAATAGAACTTAATTTTAGGAATGGATGAAGTTTAGTTGACAGTCATCATTAACTGCTTTGGCATTATGGTTATAATTCGTCCAGCTGAACAATCTTTATCAAATGCGCAAATATGTAATACGCAAACCTCTCAGATTCCTTCAAAAGCACAAGAAGGAAAGCAATGTAGTAAAAAATTCTTTTATTCATTGTTTACCTTTAATCATAAATTAAAATTTACTCAAATTATTGACATGAATTCCAAATTGTATTAAAAAAAAAAAAAAAAAAACGAAGAATTTTCCAAATAAAAGAGACAAAAATAACTAAAAAAGTA